TTCATAAAATCCCTTATTATTAGAATATAGAACTAATTAATGAGTGAAAATGCAATTATAGGCCTACTGCTGTATTCCCTTCTCTATTAAACTGGTCAATATCATTGTTCTCAAATATTAGAGTAATATTTCAGCTCAGTTTTTTTCGTGTCATGTTGAAACATTCGGAATTCTCAAAATGATTTTTTTTTTAAATCTTGAATTCATTCAATTATATGTGAACCCCTGTGTGTTTAGAGATATGATTTTTGGTTTTTCAGAATATGTATATATAAAAAAAATAATAATAAAAAGGTTTCCCCCTTGCAAACCTCATATTGTTCTTATGCAAGTACCATATTCATTTTTTAACTGTGTATTTATTTATTAATGAGTTGAATTGAATTGTGTTGAGTTCAGTCTGTTTCACATTGTATGAGGGCTTGGGGATCAGTTGGGAGTTCTGCTTGTGCTTGTTGTTGTGTTTTACAGTATAGTTATCTCTTGAAGTATTTAAAAATGCATTTCAAAATTGAGTTTTGCAGCGTTTGTTAGCGATGCTCTGCTGCCCTCTTGTGTTTGGAGCCAAACTTTCATCCTGAATATTTGTCTGCGATTAAAGCTTTTACCTGGAGTGATGCAAGAGTACGAAGGAAGTTGATTTTCTGCTTTTCCTCCTCTGTTTGACTAGAGTTAAATCGATTAGATGACAAACATTTAGCCTATGATCAAAATTGTGTCCATCTGAATGCTGCGGTTTGAGTCACAGCAGTGGAAATGGGCAAGAAAGGTGATGGATGAACACGGTACGCCAGGTTATTCTACCGTGCAGAATGAAGATTTTGTTTGAAAAATCCCTGTGTCACTGATTCTGCTTTATGTGTGTGCATGACCACGACTCTCTCCATCTACACGCCTCTGCTTGAGAGCACAATGCTAAATATGACACATTATTAAACAACTTTATCAAAATCAGTCAAGGTAGTTCATGCAACTAATGCATTTAAGGCATAGTTAAGTCATCATTCACTCACGTTGTTCCAACCCTGTATGAGTTTCTTTCTGCTGAACACAAAAGAAGAGATTTTCTGGTCCCCATTTCCATAGAACAAAAACAAACTTGTATGGAGGTCAGCCCACATTCTTCAAAATATCTTATTTTATGTTCAGCAGAACAACCTGCATGCTGAATGTTAATAAACGTGCATGTACAATGAACAAATCAAGATTAATAATTCATGTTGTAAAGTTGTGTTCTCCATTGTTAGTTGGACAGTTTATAGCCAGTTTGCTGATGTTCGATGACACGAGGATTATTAGGCCTACTATTATTCATTCAGATACTCGTTTACAGGTGTCTTACATCTATTCCAAGCAATAATCGCAGTGTTCAGAATCACTTAGAGTGGGTTTTCACCACCCGTTTCAATCAGATCAAAATGTCCCTTGTGTTTTCAGTCTGATTGATCAGTCATTGCTGGATTATTGCGTGTGATCTGCAGGCGCTGTGATTCTTCTATTTCTCTTTGCAGTGACCTAAATAATGTCCCAGTTTACAATGAGCTCTGTCTCAGGTGAGGAGGCAGTGACACACACATGAGTCTTCATCCTATTTAAAAACACCAGCCTGTGTTAATTGTGTGAGTTTTCTTACATTGTTTTCCAGCATTGTGTTTAAAGAACCTCCTGAATGCTGGATCTCCTTCCATCTTTGAAGACCTTTGCATTGCATTAACCACTTTAGACTGAGTTATTTGTAGGAGCCTCTTCAGAGAGTCACTAGGGGGCCGAACTGAATCATCTGTTCGAGAGCGACTCTGCATTTCATTCCATTTAATAATATCTCACCTACTTCTCACACATTTCGGGTTTTTGGAGAACTTCACTTGCACAGACCTTTTCTGCAGAACACTATGAAAGGACAAAATGCTTACACTTTCTTGTCATTCGTCAGATCCTCTGTTGAAGTGATTCGAGTGACATAAAGGATTTATTAGGATTCAGTCTGATCGTCGGCAGGAATCCTGCAGCTGATAAAGAGCATCTTCTCCTCTTCAGAGGCTTAAATCACACAGAGAGAAAGAAGCATTGACGACTTTCAGGTATGAATCAATGTTTGTTTTAATGTTGCCTTTAATGTAGCTTGTGTTCTGAATGCCTCATTAAATTTTTCAGCAAAATATGTTTAAAGGGGTTCTCTTGCATGCAACATATTACAATTGCATGTCATGTGTTTCCAATTTACAAGGAAAAGACGCAAAGCAATGCATGAGGAGACAGATGCAATAACAACAAAAAACATTTGTGTAGCTTAGAATAGGAGCACGAGTGATCACGAGTAAGCATGTTTGGTGATGTAAGTACGTTTTGTGGTGCTTTATAAGGTGTCCATGAGATGAAACATACAGAACACGAAGAGGAAAATATCATGCACTCAGATGACCACTTACTAAACTGTGGAGCCTTGATTTAAACATTATGGCAATAGTTACAATTATTTCAGGCTACTCGCATTCAATTACGAATTACATGAATCAAGTAAATTATTTTTAATTGAAAGTGGTGAAATTTGTCGAGTCAAGTAGTCACCGGATATTATTCCTGCCAGTCATGTGAGGTTTCTGTTGTGAACAGTTGTGAGTTAGTGAATGTTTACAGCTCACAATTCCTGTCAGTTGCTGTGAAGAGTGAAGCCCCGCCCTCTTTGATTTGATTGGCATTCTTCATATTCTGTGTGGTGGTCAGTTCACAGCAGTGACAGAAATACACTTTTCCATTAGGGGATATATTTTTCACCTAAAATGATTTCTGGGGCATTTTTTTCCTTTAATGGCCATTTTTTCTAACTTCTAACTTTTCAAATATGACAATATAAGGCTATTATCAGTCAAATGAAATCCAAATAAATAAAATCTGTGCACTGCAGAAGAGCCACAGCTGCGTCTGAAGTGAGATTCAGGTATTTTTACACACCGTGTAATGCAGCTCAGTGGTGGCATGAATGCATTTACACTGCAGTTACTGTTGCATAAATAATCCCGCTAGGTTAACGTTTGAAAGTGTTGACATATGAATTGATTTTTTTTTTTAAAGAAATGTTTTGCTGTGGGATTATATGAAATTTTGAGAGCAAAAATTGACAACAATGACAATATTGTGTCTAAATTGCAACTCTGTAAACATCTTGTTTATTCAACTGTTGTATATAATAAATCAACAGCACATTTGCAATTGTGCATATATTCAGGAAAAAACAGCACTCTTTCTCGTGTTATATTGCTAAACTATATCATATGATATAAATATGTCAAAACCCAAACGGGGCATTTTGAATGCTGGGGGCATTTTATAATGCATTCATGTTTTCATCTGGTTTTTGCAAAGTGAATGACATTGCACATCATTAAAACAACAATTATACTATTATTATAGACAATACATATCACACACCCCTAATAAATACGTTATTAAAGCTAAATCATGTTAGTAAAGACCACATAAACATCAGTAAATCAGCTTATTTCACACATAATTCTCACTTTAGAATGAGGTTCACAAAAATGTATAATAATGCTTTGTCTGCTGTAAAGTAATTTTTTTTTTTTAAAGTGCATAATAAATGCATTTTGGCAAAAATTAAAACTTTATGCCTTGTATTTACTTTTTGAATTGTATTTGTTACCTGTTTGTCTCTCAACATTACACACACACACACAAATTCACAAGACACATTATATAGTGTACTGTGTGTTCAAGTTAACATTGATAAAGATCACAGTAGGCAGTGCTGTATACAGGTATCGTTGATGCATTAACTGACGAGAACAAATACAACCTCATTATGAAGTGTCACCGAAATAGCATTGTTGGTAATGTGTGGTTATCTACAGTGAGGTTCATAACAAGTTGAGGAGGAGCTTGTCATTCTGGTTGAGTAATATATACGAGGAGTAGCTTAACCTACATCTCTCTCTGATAGCATTTCTCTTTTTGGCCTGTTTATCATCCTGTAGTTCTGTAAACTGCTCAGCTTGACTCTATGATCAGGTACAGCTGTGTTAAGACTGTCCTGCCAGAATGCAAGAGTGTGGAGTGACAGCAGAGTTCAATGGACTACATGAGAAAAGAGTGCAGCAGATCTCCAATTAGAAACTCTTTATTTGGAAGCGCTCCACTGTGTCATGTCCTATATTCGGCAACCTTTAGCAGAAACTGCACGGGTTGCCAGATCTGCCTAACAAAACCAGGCCTTTGGCCAGTCAAATCTAGCCCAATGACCAGGTAAACTAGCCCAAATACCAAAACGCAAAACATGTCACTGCCGTTCCTAAAATATTGTAAACAGACAGTGTTTATGATTATTAATATACAGTGAATTTGGGTGTGTGTGTGTGTGGTGTGTGTGTGTGTGTGGTGTGTGGTGTGTGGTGTGTGTGTGT